AATCGTGACTTCTACATACTACGAACTTTACACTAATCACAAACATCCACCATTAATCTATCATCGCTCATTGGACGTCTGAAGGACAGGACCATCGGTCTATTGGGAAGTGACGGGTGAGTGAGCCAATCTGCAACATCAGGACAGGTACTGTGAGCTTATTGGCAGTACGTCGCGCGCCAAGCAGAAGTCATGTAGTAAATTTGCGCACCTAATCGTCAGCCCTCGGTAGCTCAGTGGTAGAGCAGCGGACCGGAAATTCGTGGACCGGGGTTCGATTCCCCGTCGAGGCACATTATTGTGCGTGAATTTTAATCGTGACTTCTACTTTCTACGAAGTTTACGCTACTCACAAACATCCACCATTAACAATAATGTTGTTATAAATTAGCAGCAGCGACAGCACATCAGCAATTTGAACTGACGCTTCGATGCCGCATAGGCACTGTGACCTAAGGAGTAGAGAGAGAGAGAAAACTTTGGTTAGAATCGAAAAGCCCTAAGCAAAGATTCAAGGTCAAGGCACCTACACCTTGTGTCGACAACATACGGCAACACAGAGACAGTACGATATCAGCGATATAGTTTCCTTGCGGCTTTCACTGCCCGCATCAAAATCAGCCATATTATCCCGCAGGCAACTCAACATGAAACACGCTTTAAAGAGGCAGTCCGACTAAGAGACGAGGGCAAATACGCCACTGGTGCCGGCTGCGACCTGTCTCAAAGCGGGTCATGTGGACTCCAGTCTGGAAGGCGAGACGCACCAAGGGCACCAACTTTGGTAGCCAAAAACTTCGTTTCCAGCTGCCAACATTTGCCCATTTCGAGCCCTGCGACACCCTACATCAGGTTCACAAAACAGAACCCTCCTCGGTAAGCCTGGACCGGGTATAATTAGCACATATCCGATCTAATAATATTATATCGTCTGCATAACTTAAGTCAGCGAATTTTCCATCATGCAGCAATCCATTTCCTACCTCGCAAAATTAAACAATCATGGGAGAACTGGACAAGCTTGACGAACGCCACGCGTCGTTGGAAAGACGCCCGACACTTCATCATGGACACTGACGCGACCCGTGGTGTTCAAGTACTGGGTAGATAAATGGTTCAGATACTTCACGGGAATACATTTTCGCGAAAAGTACTTCGAACAGAATGGATCGATCCACTGAATCGAACGCACTATTGAAGTCCAGGAACACAGCTATTGTCAGTCTGCGATACGTGTGACGATGCTCTAGCACCTGCCGCAAAGTGAGTATGTGGTCTATACAGCCCCTCTTTGGGCGGAAATTTTCTTGCGCTTCCCTCATCCGAGATCCCCGTTTCGCAGTGAGGCGAGGAACGAGAATCGAGGCCAATAATTTTGTCACCACCGGCGTCAGGCCGATACCCATACGATTAGCATAGTTTGCACAACTGCTCTTCTTGCATATCAAAGATATGATATATTCACACCAGTTAGCTGGGATCATCACTTCGTTTCAATTGTTCGGACACCACCACACTTATGTAATGCGGATGCGATGGAGTTCGGACAAGCAGTTGGAGTACGATTAAGAGCTGTGATCGCGTTCCGGATTTTATCCTCCAATGGAGCTTTTAGACTAATTGGGCATGGCTCAGTCTGCACCACCGGAAAGGAAGGGGTCTGGGAGCAATGTGTCAACTAAACAGCTATCGAAAGTGCTCCGTCCAACGAGCCAGCTGGTGCTCATGCTATCTTTGATTGTCTCGTTGAAGAATAACCGCCTGGAAACTATGATGCAGGTGAGCTGGGAAATTCTGCGGAAATTGCTCTTAGTTTCTGTATCCCACATTTATCCAGCCGCTTTTGTTCACCACGCTTCCTTGTCAGCAAGCAGGCTCCGTTTCAGCTCGCGCTCACGTTCAAAAAGTTATTGGTCATCACACCGTAGGGTTTGTTCAGAGGCGCAGGACCTGATAAGACCTCGCTAGGGTAGAGCCGAAGGAGTAGTCTTCGAGGACAAACAGTACACTTTTTATATGTATAAATTAAGCACAGACTGTTGATTCAGCTAAAACGTGCAGGGGCGACCGTGGATTCTGGTTCAATTCAGTATCGATTGATCTAAGGAACCAAGAGCAATGCTGTATAAAGCAAGAAAAGCATGAAGGAAAAGGTTTGATTAATCCCCATCACTTGATAGGAAGTGTGTGAATTGGAAACTGTGTGCGGATAGAGTGACGAAGTGACCGACTTCTCACATGAATATGAGCATTCGAGCAAAAGGTGGACCTCAAATGGGTTGGTGATCAAGGAATACGACTATGCCAGTCATCTGTATTAATGCAACCGTCAAGTTGAAGTAGACAGCCAAAAAAGGTTGTAAGAGGAAAGCCGATAAACTGCTAACAATCCCATCGCTCACAATGGGGGACAAGAATCAATGGAAGGATGCTGATTGTGAACAAAAGCATTAAACTTAGAGAACATGGAGACCCACTTTTCGGTGACCCCGGCACGTTCTTCCTCAGTGCTTTTGTTGAGACCAACCGAAGCGGCTGCAACCGGAGGTCGAGTGGGGACACTCGGACGACGAACGCCAATGGCAGCGGGGTACCGGGGCTCTTCAGTCGGATCAGAGTCGGTGGTTGAATCTGCACTGTCCTCTTCATCCGAAAGGTAAGCACCCAGTCTACTGGGACGTCGAGGTTGATCACCAGTCGATGGTGCGCTTGGAGAGGGCAGTTGTGATATATCATCTGAAAGCGGAAACGAGAAGGAAGAAGCTTAGTGAGATACTAGAACGGGTTTATACGGTGGAAAGTAAAGAGGTCAGATCGCGTAAGGAAGAGTGCAGGAGGTGGTCACAAGATGGTGTCGTCAAGATGAGACAAACAATGGCAAGAAAGTTGCGTTGCTTGGCAAAGTAGTAATCTATAAGGTGACAAATATCGTGGATGAAAACAGTAATATAATAAGAAGTCCATGGTGCAAAATGGTAGACATAAAGCGGTTGTAAGAGGAAGTTGCAGGCCCAATTCACCACAATCCACGCGGACTATGGAGTTGATCGCGCAGGTCTTGACGTAGTTAAATACAGGCCAACACACGTAGCCAAGGCGTGTAAGACATCTGAGCTGCAATGACCACTAACATCGAAAGTAAAACAACAGTCGTATTCATGCAACCGCTAAAAGTTAGGTGGCGTGAATGTTAATCTAAGATTCGATGGGAGCTGCGTGCGTACTGATGCTATCTATGACACAGTCACCTGCTTATTGACTGAAGTTTAGCTGTGCACAAAAGCAAGGCTGAGTCGATGAATGACGTCTATCCGCGTATGGTATGGTTGAGCCCCATATGAACATGCAGGAAAGGGAGCTGCTAGTGATTGCAAGCGTTACAGCAGTGTAGGGCTCCAAAGTGAGTCCAGTGAGAAATGGGCTACTGCACTTGCACTGTCTTGTGTGCTCCTATCATGTACGTGATAGTGAGCAGCAGGAATCACGATTCATGCGCAAATCAAATCCAACAGGTCCGTACACGTTTTCCTATGGCTCTCATGTATTTAGGCGTGCTGTGCATCGAAGCCAATTGCCTACCCATCGCTTCCACTGAGGATATCCACCGAGTGTATTGGTGGAACGATGAGTGGCACAACGTTGACTATTTTTGAAGCCTTCACAAAGGCAGGCATCCTACGACTGTCTTCAGCTACAGAGAAAGACAAAAGAGGAGTGTACGACATCACACGACACAGTTATTCGCTGGGGAATCGGATGCTGAGATACGGAGCAGTAAGTGAACGTAGCACTGAACACTGCGAGTTATATTGTAAAGAACAGATGCACAGAAAAGATACAACGGTTAGAGACGTTTAGTGTGGAACCGGGAGGCGCGCAACATTGAAAGAGTTGGCTGTTCGAAGTTGAGATGCACTAACGCATTTGGTGTGTGAGCGGAAACGGAAAATGTAAGGGCTATGTGGGTCAGATGACAGAGGAGTAGGGGGTGGGACAGCTCGACCAGAGGACTGCTAGAGGCGGTACCAAGAACACATTCGGTGTGCAGTGGGCCAGAGAAACTCGAACAATACATCTGAGGAAAATGGTACTGGCGTAACTTGAATGATTGCAAACCGGAAACAGAAAGTAGCACAAAATGAAATAGGCGCCATAGGTTAGATAGATCTTGTAGCTTTGATTTCTCGTCGAAAAATGAATGATCATCAAGATCTGCGCAAGCCACTCTATATCCTGAAACTATTAACAACGAGCGAATGAGCCCACACATTTGGTATGGCGTACGATGGAACACACCACTACAACCGTCCTGTGAACATTTTCGGTGCATGAGTGTCATTGGAAGCATTTCGTGTACGAAGACGGTACGATGGAATCCGCTGAGCACAAACCAGTCAGTGAGTGGCCAAGATAAATTGTTTATGCAGTCGCTCCATGCTGGGACGTCTCACCACAACTCATGAATGAGTCACACCGGAACACCGCGATTGCTGATTTCCAGGCTCGCTCACGGCGCGGAGTAAAACCCATATTAGAAAAGTGCTTCTTGGGACTAAGACAGTCCACAGACTGACAAAGTGAAGTTACAACAAGAAAGCACTTTAACCGACGCAATGACGTGCACGTCTGAGATAGCAATGAGGTTGGCATCGTAAGCCCAATACAAACCGGATATCCAATCGGCATAAAAGTAGAATTCGTAATGCTCCTACAAGCATTAGTGAAGTTCGCGGGATATGGTTGACAAAGCTCAAAGGTTAACGTAAGTGTCAAACAAACAATAGTCATGTCTGTGTACCATATGACAACACCGACTGAGGAGTGAGTGCTTATTCAAAAACAGATGTTTATAAGGAAAGCTTGTTAAGTCGCCAAATTTTATCACCTTGTGGGATCTGATCCGCCTATTACCCAAAACCGTAAAGACAGTCGATCCGGTCTGGATACGTGCCTCTGTCAGATTAGCCCCCGAGGTAGGTTATGAAACAAAAATCTTTCGAAACATGTAACAGAGAGACCAAACCAAACCAAATGACTGGAGAGGTCCTCTTGCCAGTATTGAGCATGTGCTAATATATGGGGAGAGCTAGTAGTCCAAAAGACAAATGTTCACTAAAGCGCCAAATGTGAGTTTGGTGCATATTGGAGCTTTCGGTGCGAACGACTCTTCAAACGAGCATCAAAGAAACAGCGCCCGAATACGCCATTCATAATTGTGAGCAGTCAGACGAGAAGAATCGGAAATCCTGTGTTGTTGAAGGTCAGTATAGGATACAGGAACATCAGTGAAGTTGGAAAGTTTGTTTGCTTTTCACATAAGATCATTTTGTTTCAGGTAAAGTGACCGCACCGTGCGGCGCAGTGCAACGAAGGTAAAGTGACGACAAGCGGAGAACAAGCTTTTTAAGCACGCCCCTGCGCTCAACACAAATGAACGCAAACTTCCCGCTACCGTGTCGGGTAGCGAAAAAAGGTATCGAAATGCTAAAACGGCGGAAGAGACGGAGAAATAAGGAGCACGAAAATAATGCGCCGTTCAAAGACGTGGATACAACTGAACTATTTGAAAGTAAATTAAAACAACACCGAAAAAGGAAATGATGCACAGAAGCGCAGTTTATGTAACAATAAGCGACAGCCGTAAGCATCGTAAGAAATTACGTCGAAATCTGAGGTACAATACACATGTGTGACTAGGGTGTCCTAAATGTGACCATACGGTGGAGAGTTTGCATGTAATTAACCCACAGACAAATGCGTCGCGAAACAATCACCAGGTTATAAATTCACGAGACAAACTTTAATGAGCACCACATTCACTCAAAGTGATTTGACACGCGAAATGTACAGTCTAGGAGACGGAATACTTCGTAACTGGAAACATGACTTGCTCAAATGAGGCAAACCAACATGTAACGAAATGAAATCCGCGAAAACAAACGGAGATGAATGGCGAAAACTGCGGATCAGTAAGCGAAAAGAAAACAGGACGACAGCGACGTCTCAAGTCAAATCAACCTCCACACACACATGTGGGCGCATTCACAGCAGTTCATACGAACGCCGCGGATATAAAGCAAGTTAGCGCCCATGGGATTAAAGATGAGATCACGAACCGTATAGCAAAAGCTCGCAGCGCTTTTGCTAACCTTCGCCACTTATGACGCCGGCGCGACATCACTCCTGCCCTGAAGGGTAGAGTGTACAATGCAACGGTACGTTCGACCCTACCGTACGGCTGTGAAACCTGGACCCTTAAAGCAGCGAACCTGGGGAAGCTAGTTACGTTCGACCACCGGTGCCTTCGCAATTTAGCTCACATCTGGTGGGAACACCGCGTGGGCAACGAGCGTGTTCGACGCCTTGTTTACGGCACAGAAGAAGGAAATGAACCGCTCAGCACCGTTATTTCACGCATTAGGCTCCCATATCTCGGCCACGTGTTACATATGTCAGCCCTCCGACTTCCGTGACGTGCGTTGTTTGCTCACCGGGGATGTGGGTGGAAGAGGAGGGGTGGCCAAGCGATGAATTAGTCGAGAGGAATGAAGGCCTTCACTTAGGAGCTGACCTCAGTTGGAGCGTGTCGACTCCATGGTTGGGTTCCGAAAGACGATGAATACGTTTGGCTGGATACACTTGTTGATATGGCAAGGAGCTTACCTCGATGGCATTCGTGCTGTGAGTCTCTTTGTCCCGTCCCATCCCTCTTAGCATCCCCTTCCAACCACGATCTCACTAGTTAGCCTTATATAATTTCGCATAGTAATTTTTTGATGCACAGTAGCCGGCAGATAGCTTACCGGAACGATGCCCATCCGTTACCGGTAGCTCAGCCGGCTTGCACCAGTAGCATTTTTCTCTCCTTTTTCTATGTATTGCGGCACAGTAGCTGAGGTGTTTCCTACCTCTAGCTAACGTGTATGATAATGATGAGCACTAATGGAAAATACAAAATGAAAAGGAAAACAAAGGAGGCGTTTTCGATCAAACAAACGGTCTCGCAACTGGTCCATCTTTAGTTTTGCGTCGAATAAGAAGCAATAGAGTTACGATTTGACGAGATATGGGAAAAAACCGCTTGGAAGAAATATAGACTGTACTGTATAGATCAGTGTGTATGCGTCGAGAGGGTCGTTTAAAATGCTCGGTGAAAAATCGAAGAGTGCGGCAAACTGCTTGTTAAACAAAGATGAATGGGGGTTCTTTGCTTAATCCAGAGCAACAGGAAAGACATTTTGATGAGCGCACAAGAAAAGTACAATCCTATTGAAGAAGTCCGGGAAAAACAAAAGGGAAACGGTACAAACAATGAGGAAAAGTACAATCGTTTAAAAAAACCTTAGAAATCTCATGAGAATTTTCAAGAATATATACAGACCCTAACAGATTGTAGAACAAGAGAACACTAAGATACTTTGCGGTTCATGAAAGAGATGTGAAGATCATTCAGGATCAAAAGGGAAAATTTAACGGGATACCGTCTGTCGGAGTGGAGAAAAGAGAATGTAACATCACAACGATTGAAAGGGAGGGACCGAGATCAGGAGCTTGACCAGGTCGAGTTCGTCCAATCTTCGAAGGAGTTCCGCAGATCACCCAATTATTGGAGATTTACAATCTAGGGCAGGAGATCTCAAACTTTTGGTCCTTAGACCCCTTTTTAGTGGAACCTCATGAAGCAGACCTCCAGAGATGTTGTTAACCATAGAACTAGTCTTTATTAAAATGGGCAT